GACACCATTCTGGTGTTTACCAAATAACCGGTGTTATTGTCAATCAGGCGCCAGGATTAGCCATCAGTTTTTATGACCAACAGGCTCTGCATTTTCCACCAATCGCTCCCTTGGAAAATGTTATTATCTTGCATTTCCCTCACCTGAAGATCGACTCAGAGACTAATGATACTGTTTTTATACTGGCAATATTTTGCTTAACTCACCTATAGTACGGGGTTAAGCCTATTCCACTTTGTGTTCGGACTGGCTTTTACCAAAGTGGGCTTAAGTTGGCTAACCCCACCTATAGTATGGGCTTAACTAACCCTGCAAAATAGCAGGGCTAACTCCGCAATTGTGGTGCTAACTCCTGCTAACCCCCCAATTGCGGTGCCAAGCAAATGAATGAGAACAGAAACGAAAAATAGTCCGGTACTACGCAATGGAGCGTATCGCAGCTGGCCAGATGCGAAGTATGTCCAATCATAACATTCACGATATCCGGGGTTAACGAATTGCAATGAGAACAGCGTGGCTTTTCTTATTCCGGAATAGTCGCTAGTACGGGACTAAACAGCGTGTGAAAACCAAAAAAAAATAGTCCGGGGCTAAGCAAAGTACGGGGTAAAGCAAAACCAGTGTGAAAATAGTATAAGGGCTATTTCTTGTGTGCCCAACTTGTACACCCATTAATGGTTATTTCCAGCAAGTCAGGTGTCAGTGAATTATGACCTACTGCACGTGGAAACTGACAACCAGCTCCCTTTAAAGAGATTCGGTAACTTTGTCTCAGATTCTGAAACAAAATCCTGGATTTACCGGTAGCTCATGCTTCAATCAATAATTAGTTCAAAATCACTGGTAGTATTCTTTCAAATGCCGTTGAAATTAAACCTTTTTTATTTTTTCAGCCTGCAAATGGGCCATAGTACCTTTAATTCTTAATCAAAATTTTAATTTATCAAGGGCCCTTCATACAATGTCTGTTATGTCCTATTTAATTCAATATCAAGTTTTCTGTGCATTTCTTTGCTAATTAACATCATGCATTTTGAAAGGTCGTATTAGCAAAGCAACAAATGCACACTTACAATGTACATGACTGTATGTCAATGCAATCGGTGTAAAATTAGACAGCAATGAACTGAACTATTATGTTCGTGCATCTAACCGACCTCTAGCTGGCACGCACATGCACATATACAAAGACTTGATGAACTGTGCAACGGTAAAAATGATGGATAATCAACGAACCATACATATGATTTGCCACTCTTCGACCAGAAAACAAATTGGGATTAAATTACCTTGACAAACACTGCACATTTTTATGTACACGTACATGTTTTTTATCAGTGAGGATCTATACATTTCCATTTTGATATAATAATTTTAAAAAGTGCTGAGTTCATGTATCAGAATAAATCTATATGCATGGTTACTTCACAATCATCTATACACAAAGTTGCTTGGTTCTGTGTCGCAAATTCCAGACAATACCAGTTGCAATGTACATTACCTACAGTGAAGTCATGTGTTAATCTTATTCAGTACATTGAAAGCAATATGATTTCTCTACATTAAAGTGACTTGGTAACATTGCCTCAGATTCTTAAACAAAATCCTGGATTTAGCTCATGCTGCAATCATAGTTATAAACCTTTAGGTCAGTCAGGAATCCCATGACTTTTACAAGGCGATCGCCTGTCTGGTTATCAAGATGTTTTTTATAACACTACAGTATATTGGGGTGAATGAGAAAGGTATTAACCGGTCACTAAAATATTTTTAATTTTTTGAGGCACTTCATGATCATTTTTTAGGGCTTCAATATTACACCATAACACAGACACTGATAACACGTGCATGTGGGGCCATGCATCTCAGAAGTCAGTTACTCACTCAATAGCGTCTGAGAAACGAGTTTCCTTGCATAATTTGAATAGGACACTTTATACATTTCATGCTCAAGGTTCCTACAAAGTAGTGTTATTACCCTGGATTTAGCCTACCGGTAGCTGCCTTTAGGCGCTAAAAGCTTTTGAGGAATAAATGATACATGATAGGCCTGTCTTCATCAGCCCAAGTTGCATTGCCAAATAGCTGCTATTTCTGATCCGAGAAATTAGCCCAATCACAAAATAGCGGGCTATTTGGCAGGTGAAGATGCAAATAGCGGGCTATTAGCTCAGAAAATCTTCCCTAGTTATCTTGGGCTAGTTTGCAAAATAGCCCGGTATTTGTGGTCCTTTTTCACTAGCCCAAAGACTCTGAAATATTTCTCGATCCTGGCATGCACGACGATATAGTTTCCGGTTTCTGGCACTATGCACGAACGTTTCACAAGCAATCAGCGGTTAGCTAGAAAATGTGCATGTATTCACTGCTGTTACTCGTTTACAATTGCTGCGTGTGGAGTTCAAATTAGTCATAGTAAATGATTTATCTTTCTATCAAAGATATACCAGTTAATTCTTTGTTATTCCAGATTCTGTTTGATTATTTCAAGTGGTACGTGTTAGTGGTACATGTATATTGTCTAGTATTATGTCTCACTAGATAGTGTAAACCGAAGGGCAGGTCAGTATTTTAATAAAGTTTTGGAGGGAAGATACAATTTTCGAGGCTGTTGCAAGCACAGCAACGAAGACTAAAAAGATATACCAGAATCTTTCATCAAAACTCGCTAGCACACCCCACATGCGCGAACACTGAGCAAATTTCTTGAGTTCCAGTTTCAAGCTGATGAAGACGCGATTTGTAACCTCGGGCTAATTCCCGGATTACTATTTGGCCAACTCGGGCTAATGAAGACAGACCTAGTGTCATTTCATGTAGCATGCACCTCAAATCAAAACAAATTTCACGGATGCTTCTGAACTGAAACAAAACGAAAGTGGAAGCACCCATTAATACAAGTTTGAAGGAAATATTGATTCCCCAAAATAATCTCTTGTTCATTTAGGAATATCAAATAGTCATCTATCCTTCACTTCCTCTGTACATAGAGATAATATCAGCATAATGTTACATTACAGAGCAACTCAACTACTCTAGCGGATGTTTAGTCATGCCGTGTCAAAGTGGACTTGAACTTGTAATCATTGGAAGTATGATAAGTATCTGTATTTTAATTTTATTCGTAAAGCTCCACTGTACTACTGGTACCTACTTGCTCCCTCTATATATAGCAAACAATGCCTAATTGGTGACCATTGGCCCCCCATGATCCTCTTTTTCTTATGTTAACTGAGAGCTGATTTGATGAGATAACCACCTGTCAGTGACCTTGCAGGGTAGTCTAATTCCTCCTGTAAACTAGTACAGATGGGGTTAAAACTCTAAACGAAATTCATCATGTAGAGGTTTTGTGGTCAAATGGATATGTCACCGGACTGTGGATCAAATGGTAAGCGTTTCGAGTCCCGCTGTGGCACAAATGTCCTTTGGCAAGACATTAACCTACATTTGCCACTCTCCACCCAGGCGAAGTAAATGGGTACCCGGTAGGAAAAAATTTCTCGAATGCTTAAGTGCACTATGGCGTCTCAGCAACAGCTGAGCAGGGACTTGTTAGCTGAGGTAACAATATGATACTTTGTATTCAGCACAGTAGAGTATGGAGTATATCATCTAGTAGCTACGCTATATAAAATGGACCTACAGTGTATAACCTATTATTATCATTTTTATTATTACCAATAGGCTTTGTTTATAGTGAGACGGAACACCTGCCACACCGACTCAGCTCCCCAATCAATAAGTCACTATCGATGAGCAGCTAATTAGCTTAGAGGTCAAGGTCATATACACAATCAATACGAGATGGAAAAAGAGTATTGTAGTGAGAGAGGAGAAAGGAAAGGGAGAGAGAAGGAGACAGAGACAGACAGACGAGATGCAGAGAAAGAGAATGGTAGAGAGAGGCAGAAAAACGGATACAATTGTAATTTGTTTTCTAGGCAACAGTCAAAGAGACAGAGTGATATATACATGTACATACATTGTATTCATGTACCAAAACAGAAAGACCAAGATCACATTACATGCACAAATTAGGTTACAAAGGTCAAATGTGTCATCATGGGTTTCATAAATAGATTGATCACTTGTGGCTTTTGTGAAATACATGTTTCATGAACTCCTTCTTCTTCCTCTGCTTGTCTTCTTCTTATTATTCTCCTCATTTTTCCTCTTCCTCTTCCTCTTCCTCTTCTTCTTCTTCTTCTTCTTCTTCTTCTTCTTCTTCTCCTTCTCCTTCTTCTCCTCCTCCTCCTCCTCCTCCTCCTCCTCCTCCTCCTCCTCCTCTTCTTCTCCTATGTTCAGTACTTCTTTTTAAAAATTTGGCATTGCCTGTGTTTGGTTTAGAATGGCTATACTACATGTATACATTGATCAATATTGCATCAAAAACACACTCAATACAAATAAGCTCGCACTCGCCTCACCTACCATCCCAGTATAGCTTCCTTAGTGAGCTGTCAAAGGGATTACCCAACCAAGTACCAAGCCAGTTGTACTTAGCACATGTGTAAGTGCAAGTGCATGTGAAAGATCTACAATTCTACATGCATGTACACCCATTTCCAATCTACATACAAATTATTTAACAAGTTTAAAACAAGACGATATCATGATGTAGTCTAGCAACATGACATGACATTATGATTATTATATCATTGACATTTAACCTGACACTACCTACATGGATAGGGATGCAAAATGGCATTCACATTTTTACACGAGGCCAAGACTCCAAAGAGCAAAGCTATACAGCTATATTGTGCGTACAACATGCAGGATCATGACTTGAAGGCCCATGCCGATATACCAATCTACAGGAACGGTTCCTCACTCACCCCGGCACTTCCCGGCAAACAAATCACAACAAATGCTTATCGCCACTCACGGCCCGAGGGTCGAGGTGTTGACAAGTACAAGAGAGCTATAAGAACTGGCAGTGGAATTAAATAGCACTGTTTTGCGAATAACATACAATACTCAATGTTAACACTTACTTTTACAAAGGCAACGTCTCCATGTAAATGACAAGAAGATGTATTAAAGATCATGAGAATAGAACCAACTTTGACGTCGCGTCATCATCACACATGACCATGCACACATGAGTTACGAAATCAACGATTTGTTGGCTTAGCTTCCGGGATCTATAACTGTAATGTAGATATGCAGTCTGTGTGTGTGCGCGTTAACGAGATAAGTATGATGCGGTGTCGATGTTGCTAATTAATTTCAGGGATATAGTCTCCGGGGGTAGCCCACATGTACGTACCGGTACAATCACGAGATGAGATGAAGAGCGAACTTCAGTGGATTCTTTTTGAGCGCTTGAGCAAACAGAGAGAAAAACATGTCTACCACGGGGGCCACGGGCGTCAGAAAATGGTAGCGAGAGCCAGAGAAATCGTAATTGCTACCCGATGAAAGAGTAACGAGAAACTCTTCATAAAATGTTAATTTATTCCATTTGTAGTTTAGAGATATGAGTGTGAGGTATTGTGAATGGATATTTGAAAGCGTGTTCACTCGTCACACAACATAACTCTTAATTTTATGCTTTTACTTTTAGCTACGAGGAAACAAGGTTACACGGGCAATAAAATACATACAAGAAAGTATTCCCTTTTCGTTAGTTTATTGGGTACTGATGAGGCTGACGTACACTTGCAAAGTGTAGTCAAGCACAAGCCGAAGAATCGGAATGAGTACACATAAATGATAAATGTGAATATAGCACGAAGTTACATAATGATCAATGATGATAATGAACATGAATAAATGTGATGTATAGAGCTTACGACATAGTAGAAATGAAGTCGAAAGTCCAATGAAGATGAAGAGAGTTGAGAACGAAGGAAGGGGCTCACGCGATGAAATGTGCGGAGGCTTGAAGAGGCGGAAACGCGACTTCGTTGACGTGGTTGAAGAACCGTGAAGAATGCGATGTCGTCGCCGACGCTCGTGATGATGATGAATGTAGATGGAGCTCTCGGGCGAGAATAGAAGAGAAGAGAAGAGATGTGTGGCGCTCGATGATGAAAGCAGTGAGTCGCTTGATGTCGGAGGCCAAAGTGGAAAATGCAGACATCAAAGCCGGTAGTGGTGCTGAGACGGTGAGTCGCTCGATTGATGAGCCGAACTTTGATGGTGAATGTTTAGATGAGCTGCGGTGAGTCGAGCTCATGTGAGTGAAAAACTACCGGTGAAGAAACTGGCAGCTCCCAGCGGATAACCAAGCACCATATATGTCGGAACAAGATTTAACTGTTCCACTGGAAGACTGCAGCCCGACGAACACGGCAGAGAAAGTGAAGATATGTGCCGATAGAAGTGATAGGCACAGTAGAATCAAGCCCGGAGAAGAAATCATGCAGAAACGTGTTGACTCAACTGAGATGTAAGCAGGAGTTGTTGACTCGACCGAGGTGTAAGCGGGAGTGGAGAAAACCTCGTGGTGATGAAAATACGCGGGGTGAACGATGCGCGGAACCACGATGCTCGATTGGAGGAATGAACACACGTGGTACGAATAATGAATATAAATAAATACCGTGATGGAAAAATACAGGAGACATGAATATACGGTGAAAGTAGGGCATGTAAGAGCCGCTACATTACTCCCCTGCCAGAATTGAAGCTGTGTATGCAATACACAGATGAGAGGCGAAAAAGATATAAATGAGCAAAGTACAAAATGTCACAAAAATCAATGGCTGATAAAAATGTAAAAGTGCATGTATTGTATAGTGTATGCAGTAATTTACAGCAGCCTAAGAAATGTACAAGCATGGCATGTTGAAAGAATGTAATACAACAAGCATGGTATGCGAACGGCTGTTTAGTTGCCAAAAATTGAACAGTGAGTACTGACATGGTATGCATCGAATAAACGTGTATAAATGCAAGAGCATAAAAAACATTCAATACATAATCCAGAATGAAGACATTGTATAAAACATTGCTAAGTCCAAAAAGTCAGGGAATAATAAAATCGTACAACCAAGCTTCCAAGTAAACGTCGGGTCACCACTTTAGAGATATGAGTGTGAGGTATTGTGAATGGATATTTGAAAGCGTGTTCACTCGTCACACAACATAACTCTTAATTTTATGCTTTTAGCTACGAGGAAACAAGGTTACACGGGCAATAAAATACATACAAGAAAGTATTCCCTTTTCGTTAGTGTAAGGTTTTAATTTCACTGACCCAAGTGGTTACTTGTTTATTTTACACTGTACATTTAGCTTTCCACTCCGATATGCTTTAGCGCACTCCTGACCTATATTCATTCTCTCCTGTCTGCTAGCTCTTGGCTTCTATTGTTCTGTCCCTATTCATTCATCCTCATGCACATTACCTGCTATAGCACCACACACACACACACTCTTCCTTATCTCTTAGCTATTCAACCCAGCACACATGGCACATGGCACTCTATCTTTTACAAGCTTTTCTATTGGTTACTTACTTATTGTCCAATCTTGTGATTGGTTATTATTGTTTGATGGACTGGATGTCAGCCATCTTGGCAGCCATTTTGTGGTTGGAATAAAATCTCATAGTGCAGCTCAAGTCCTCAATCATGTGAGACCACTTTTGTTTTGTGTGGGACTTTACAACTGGTGCCAGCAGTGGTTTTTCTGCACTTAACTGTAATTGCAGCCTTCCTTCATATGTAGAAATTCCTGCAGTGTTTTTAGTGGTGAGTTGCAAAGTGAAATTCTCCCTCCATCTGTATCTATGAATGTGATTGTTTGAGAGCATGATATCACCCTTCTTCTCACTGATTGACCTCCCTTCATTTTAAGTTGAGGCAGTTAGTGTTTGTGTGTATTCAACCTCCTTCATTAATTACTGAAGTTTCATCTTGACTTTTTGAGCCTTGATTTCTTCCTACATCAGTAATTTTGTGGATTCCTTCATTCATCCTGCATCAGTAAGTGAGATTTCCTTTACTCTTCTTCATACTGGAGCTGTATTTTGGTGCATATTCCTGCAGTCATCCTTCATCGGTGACTGAGGTTTTTTTTCTTCACCCTTCATACAGTTCTGTATTTTTCAAGCAACTTATCACATCCAGTTTGCATGTATAGTCTGCCTTTGGCTGCCGTACATTACAGCATTCTGCCATATCAACCTGCATATTCTACATAGTGTTGGCGTAGCAACATACTCAGTTGCAGAATACACCCTCCTTCCATCATAGCCGCTCGCCACAGATATTTCAACTGTTGAGTTTGCATTTTCTTCATCTGCACTCAGAGTGACCCCACCCCCCCCCCCCCCTCCTTCACATTGACTCATTCAGTAAGTTTTACTGGGTTGATATCTTGTTGATGGTCATATCTGTTGAGTCGATTGCTTATAACTCCTACGGTATGGCATCTTATCGCATGGAATTGCCAGAAGTGTTTACGGGAGAGAACGGCAAAGACTTCCGTCAATGGATACGTCGATTTGAAGTTGCTGCACAGGCGTTTTCAGACACTTCTATCAACTTGACCACCCTCCTTCCGGCAAGACTAGCAGGATCAGCCTTCATCGTGTGGGAGAGCTTGTCTGCTTCGGACAAGAAGGATTTCAAGAAGATGAAAGAGAAACTCTCTCAGGTTTTCGGCCGGACACAGTTTATTGACACATTCAAGTCTTGTATTACTGCCCGAACTCGCCAACCAGGCGAGCCGTTAGAGGTGTTTGCATCAGCCATTGCTTCCTTAGTAGAAGAGGCTTTCCCGTCCTATGATGACAATGCAAAAGGTGGTGAGAGATTTCGCCGATTTGTTGCCGGGGTAGACAAACCGCTTCAGGTGAAGATTCACGAGCTCGGAGGCTTTGATTTTGACGAGGCCTTGAAGATTGCACTTCGTGTAGAAAGAGCACAACAAGCACACGATTTTGGTATAGTAGCAGCTGTAGATGATCGGGTCCAGGACAAGACGCCTGCAGAATCATCAGTCTTACGACTACTACTACCAAGACTCAACGAGTTAGAAAAGAAGCTGGATAGGATGTCCTTAAAGTTAGAGACAGTTGAAAGGCCTAGCAGATCTCAGCAACGTGGTGGCAGCCCATCAGGACGCTCCCATGAGGGAAGACACATGGAACGTCGTGGGTCTCCGTCACCAAGCCGTGACTACCGAAGACACAGGTCCCCAGAATATGCAAGACAGAGATCTCCAGAATATGCAAGACACCGATCTCCAGACAGAGATCTCCAGAATATGCAAGACACCGATCTCCAGGATATTCAAGACACAGATCTCCGGAATATGCAGGACGCAGATCTCCTGAATATGCAAGACGCATATCTCCAAGCCCTAATCGGAGCTACGCATATCAATCTAGGACTTCACCCTCTAGACGGCCCTATGAATCGTCTAGCAGCCGAAATCAGCAGCATCCTTCCACTGCAGGTTATCAAGTCGACTCCCATAGACAGGCTCCCTATCGTCAAGTTCGTTTTGAAGACCAGCAGCAGGGAAACTTCTGGTAGTTGAGGAAGAGGGCCATTCATCAACTACACAAACCAAGGTCCCAATACGAATAGCACCTATTTCGCCAAAGAAATCGCCCTACATCCCGATCGTTATCGACAATGTCTATGTATTGGCACTTGTAGATAGTGGATCATTCATCTCTCTGTTGAGTGCCAAGTTTTTGTCATCCATTCCAGCATCGCAAAGGAGCCCGTTGGAAAAGTTGACATCCATGGCATCTACTATCACAGGTGGGCTGGTAGACAACATGGGAACAATCGTACCATCTCTGCACTTAGGGAACAAGGCTACACAACACAAGTTCGTTGTTGCACGCAACATCACTCATTCAGTTGTCCTTGGATGGGACTTTATTGACAGCCAGAATGCCTGCATATCGCCAACATCGTTCAACATGCCTGGAAATGTTATTCCCTTCATCGATCGTCAGCAATACCAAGCCCCGTTGAAATGTAAAGTTTCTCTTGTTGGACAAGCTCGGATTCCCCCAAGCTGCGAAACTCATGTCCAGGGAAGATTGTCGTCGCCACAGTTCGACATCGTACCAAGAGACTATGATGGCTACTTTGAACCAACATTGCAAGATCACATTCCTGTTATCGGTGCCAGATCTCTGTTCAAGCCTCAAGATGGTCTTATTCTAGTACGCCTCATTAATCCCTCTGACGAAGCAGTTGATTTACCTGCAGACACCTGCCTTGGTCAATTCTTCTCCATTACTGGGGATATTGAAGAGGAATACAGGATCATGAGCGTAACTACTGACGCTGATCCACAAGTGACAGACAAGTCACCAGTTGCTGGTGTTCTCCCTTCTTCGGA